TCTCTCTCTCTCTCTCTCTCTCTCTCTCTCTCTCTCTCTCTCTCTCTCTCTCTCTCTTCCCAGGTCCTCACTAGTTGAGATAGGGGACTTCAGGCTGAAGTTTGGGCTCCGCAGATACCTTATCTGAATCAGCCACACAGAGTACAATGGAATTCTTGAGTACCGGGAAAGTGGGTCATGGCCTATATAGGAGACACTGGGTGCTGGCCAGAATGGTTTTAGCATTGTACTGCTGGGTGCTAGGACTGCACCCAGCTCTGTTTCTGTGTGGCCTCCAGTTAGTGCCTTTACCTCTCCGAGCATTGGTTTCTCTAATCACAAGATGAAGGTAACAATAAAGCCGACATGACTGGGGTTGTTGGAAGGCTGTGAGAGAGAGATGCCCGTCATTTATCTTATGAATGCTCGCCACTTACATTTAAACCTGACCCCTGGGAGACACCAAGCATACCCAGAACATTAGCTGGAAAAACATAGGAACCAACAAAAGTGAGAGGAAAGGAAGGCGAGGTGGGGCAAAATTTATGCTGAGCTGGCCCGTCCACAAGTACTGAAACCAGTTCCTACTGCACAAGGGACCAGAAAGAGCCAGTTGGCCTGTGGGACTTCCTCTCAAGTGTTAAAAACCAACTATGCCTCAGAGGAGCATTCAGGAAGACATTTATTTGTACAGTGTGTTCCTGTTCCCTGTTTCCAGCTGGTAAAGGCTTACCCATGGCTCACTAATTCTCCTGATTATCTACGCCATGTTACCTGGGAACCCAGGCACCATGCCTTTCACCGTGGTGTTTTCTCCAGGTCCCCAAATAAAGAGACATCCCAAAATATGTGTGCATAGCAGCCAAGAGGGAGGAGACTGTGTAGGAACACCAGAGAAGAGAGGGAAAGATGGGATCATCCCAGTAGACCTTTGTGGTTTGCTAGGCAACAGGCCAGCTGGGAGGCAACCCTGACAGGATTTCTCTTGGGGTTGGGGTCACAGCTGCTGCGGAAGCTTCGTACAAGCCACAGCACCCCAGCAGCACAGCTGGCTTTCCCAGCACTCAGACTCGGACTCATCTGTAAGATGGTCAGGTTGGGACACACAAAAATAAAAATCACTTTTCCTTTTACAGTGCTAAACCTGAACCCCAGGTCAACTCCTCCTCTCTCTTGGCTGCTGTGCACACATAGTTTGGGATGCCTCTTTATTTGGGGACCTGGAGAAAATACCACAGTGAAAGGCCTGGTATTTGGCTTCCCAGGTAACATGGCATAGATAATCAGGAGAATTAGTGAGCCATGGGTAAGCCTTTACCAACTGGAAACCCCAGGACCTTGAATATAAAATGTTGTACCATTGAGCTGCATCCCAGCCCTCTTAAACACTACTTTTAGTGGAAGAATAATTTTAATAATTATTCCTTGGAAAGAGAGACAACGTTTGAAAATCTCTTACCTCACCCCCTAGCGGTGCTAGAGGTCATTCCTAGGATTCTGTTGTGCCTGAGTTACTTCCTCAGCTCTTGAACATCTGCATTTCTTTTTTAATCATTTTTATTGGATATTTTATTTATTTACATATCGATGTCATCCCCTTTCACTATTTCCCATCCCCCAGAAATCCCCTATCCCTTCCCTACCTCCTCCTTTATGCTTTTATACCATTTTAATTACATGCAAGTATTAAGGTCAGTTCTAGGTTGAGGAACTAGCAATACAATAAATGCCAATAGACAAGGAACAAGCAAGACAGTAAACACAAATAGTCAAAGTAAAAGCAAGGCAATAAACAAAGTCCTGTGATCTTTTGAGGTGGGAAGATACACCTTTAGTACAGGCTACACCGCTGGTAGCTTATATACAGGACATGGAGGAAGGGAGCTTGCTCTCTTTGCCTGCTTGCTTTCGCTCTCACTGGCAAGTCCATTTCTTCACTGGCATTAGTGCTTACTTCTTCAGGAGGCTGGCATAGTCTGAAGATTTGGATTTAAAAGAGACTTTGGATTTTTAAAGAGACTGAATTTTTAAGTTTTGGATTTAAAAGAGACTTTGGATTTTTAAAGAGACTGAATTTTTAAATTTTTTTAAACTGTGAGATATTTTTTAAGTTTGCAAAATATTTTATATTGTGATGTTAATATCAATGTGTAATCTCGGGGATGAACAAGAAAGGAAAGGTTATGGCTCAATAGTGTGTCAAGTTTACAAGAGGTCAGTGGCTCTGGCTAGTTTTATGTCACCTTGACATAAGCTAGAGTCATCTATGAGAAGGGAAATTCAATGGAGAAAGTCCCTCCATCAGATCTGAGACATCCAGCCTTGTGGACTGAACAACTACTGGATTCTTGGACTTTCCTTTGGTAGATAGACATTGCTGGGCTAGCTGGATCACAGCCTGTAAGCTATTCAATTAAATCCCCTTTAGATTCATTTAGATTCAAAACTGAGGCTCCAGGGGAATATGGCATCTATGTCTTGTGCGAGGAGGTAGGGGCTTGAGACAGGAAGGAGACTGATGGGCACAGACGGTGCCTGTCACACTCTCACTCATCCCTCCTCTCTCCTAGGCCGAGATGCAGATCCAGGACCAGCAGCTGCTGCTCGAACTGAGGCATCTACACAGCATCCTGGAGGAGCTTCAATCTGAAAGCACCCACTGGGAGAACACAAGGCCCAGCAGAAGCACATCGCCTTTCCGAGGGAGGCTGGGATCAGAGGGCAGGGCCTGCCAGCCTATGCCAAGGCAACTGACCCAGCTGCTCCAAGGGGAAAAGAGCAGGCGAAGCTCCCTTCCTTAACCAGCCAGAGGATGCTCATCAAAGCCCTCCTAGCATTAGTATAAATTGTGTGTCGGCTGTGTGTCTTTGAATCTGTCACTTCTTAACTGTCTCTGTCACTTGCCCGTGTGTGTGTGTGTGTGTGTGTGTGTGTGTGTGTGTGTGTGTTAAATTACTGGAGGCATACATGCTTTATAAGTACAACACTGTTACATAGCTTCCAGCAAGTTGTCACCATAGGTGATAATCCTAGCTCTAGTAATTTTTTATGAGGTAATTGTTAAAGAAAGATTATGATGTGCAAAGAGGGTTACCTACTGTTGCCTTGGTGAAAAATCAGAACATCTGTAATGACTTCCTGACTATTTTCTGTGTTCCTGTTAGGCCTTCTTGGCCCCTTTTATCTAATAACAAATGTTCCTGTTGCACCACAGATCACAGAGATGAGCATGTCAAACATATAACTCATGATGGCTCTAATATTGTGATTCATGATTGGCTTAATTCACGGACATGTGACTCAACAAAGCCAACCACAATCCTTCCTTGGGATTGCTATCTGGATACTGCCAACCACACTTCCACAGTTTGTTTGCTTTCTTTTAGACCATTTTGATCTTTGCCAGTAAGCAGTGTAGGGTTAGACTCCAGAGCAAGAGGTAAGAGGAGGGACTGGTTCCTTTGTCCTCTGCAGTATCTTAGAGGTCTCTTGCAACCCTTGGTGTCACACACCAGAGCTGCTTCACCTCATCAGGTGGCACTAGCTCTCTCTAAGTCCAAGGCCCAGCCTGGAGGCCCCCTCTAAGCTCAGACTCGCCCTTCTCAGATGAGTGCAGGCCAGCTCTCCAGGGCTCCTGTCTGTGTGGTTTAAATTTTAATTCTTCAGCTTCACTGTTCCCTAGCACTGGGGGTGGTAGACTCTTCCTGTAATTGTTAGCTTGGAGTTCTTTTTATAACTTCTCATCTACTCAGTTAACTTTATACTTAGTTAATAGTTCTTTGTATTAAATTCTGTGTTTCATTAAAAAAGAGGAAGTATTGGGAACAAGCAAAAGAAACTTATTCTAAGTACTACCATTTTGTTTTCAGACTTCATTTAATCATAAGGAGAAACTAAATTTAAGGTCCTAGGCCCTAGGGGAGCTGAGGACTTCCCAATAGCTGAACAGCTTTTATTATAAGGAAACAATTGTCTAAGTCCAGACATCCCAGGACAACTTGTAAGTGAAGAGTTGTCTGAGTCCAGACATGTCAAGGACAACTTCTCCATCTTGCTGGCAGGGTCAAACTGAGTTCACATTCCCAGACCCAGGAACCTACTCCTATCCTGATTGGTGGAAACTCTCTTGCTCCAACCCCTTATGTCAAAATATGATTGGACAATGCTACGGCCTACCCTGCTTCCCCTTGCTTTGTGGTCTCATCCTTTAAATATGCTGTGTAATTTTGCTTCAGGGATGCAGTTCAGCTCCTGAGTTTGTTCTGTGGGATTGATCGATCAGTAGTGGCTTGATTACAATAAATTTTTGTCACTGCATTGACCTTCTGTTTGAGTTATGTTGGATTTAAACAGACCCTACAATAGAAGGTAGAAAAGATGTGACTTGTCTCTTACATATTCCCACTGACACCATTTTTGCTATTCTTGCCAAAACAGCTCTAACTACTCTAAGGTGTTCCAATGTATGAGAATGTCTAGGATGTATAAATCAAAGAGGAGACCCAGAGGAGGGGACTGCTGTTGTTTATTAGAAGCTATAGGGAAGGTGTTCACTGGCCCCACCCCTAACTAAGGCTGCAAAGAGACAGAGAATCTATTTTCTTTAGGTCTGTGGGCTCTGGTAAGTCAACCCAGTGCCAGTGGATGGCCCTGTGCCCATGGGTATATGGACAGTACAAATTGGATCCTGTGGGTATTAAAATAAAATTAAAATTAAAGACATGAAGTTGGAAGGAGGTTATGGTGGGTTTTAGAGTAGTTAGGAGGACATCTGTGGCTGAAAATATATTGAATGAGTGTATGAAATTTTCAAATAACTAATAAAATATTTTTTAAAGAAAGAAAGCTTAGCCCAAGATGAGAGTCTAGCTTCACCCTGCAAGCACATCACATGTGACACTTGGTGCTTTGAATCTAGCCAGAACTCAATGTTGTCAATTGAAAAATTTACCAGTATAGCCAGTAATGGCTGTGATCCCAATACTTGTAGAGACTGAGGCAGGAGGATTGTATAAGATCTAGGTCAACTCTGAGCTACATAGTAAAGACTGGGTAGATGTAACTCAGTGGCTTAGCACTCTTCTCGATTTCTGTGTGGCTGGATTTGATCTTTAGCATCACAAAAGGAAAAAAATACGTTCACATGCTTGATCCTGACCACAGAGATGGTTGTTGTCTTAGTTAGGGTTTTATTGCTGTGAAGAGACACCATGACCATGGCAACTCTTGTAAAGAAAAACATTTAATTGGGGCTGGCTTACAGTTTCAGAGGTTTAGTCCATTATCAACATGGCAGGAAACATAGCAGCTTGCAGGAAGACAAGGTGCTGGAGAAAAAGCTGAAAGTTCTACATCTTGATCTGTAGGTAGCAGGGAGAGACTATGAGCCATACTAGGTATAGCTTGAGCACATAAGACCTCGAATCCTGCCCCCACTGTGACATATTTCCTCCAACAAGGCAATACCTCCTAATAGTTACACTCCCTATGGGCCAAGAATTCAAACACATGAGTCCATGGAGGTCATTCCTATTCAAGCCACCACAGTTGTTAAAATTATTTTTAATTTAATTCCAACCCTACCATTTCTTGTGTGTTTGTGTGTGTGAATATGTGTAATATCTATGCACAAGTGTGCACATTCAGGTGGAGGCCAGAGATCGTGGGGCATCTCCTCAATAGCTTTCCACCTTAGTTTTTGAGACAATGTCTCTCTATGAGCTTGGAGCTTCCAGCTGATTAGCAAGTGATCTCTAGGGATCCTCCTGTCTCTGCTCCCTTCACTGGGATTACAGGTGAATACCACATTGTCTACCTTAAAATAAAATAAAAGAAACAACGGTGTGTTCCTGTGTTTGTTTCTATTGGCCACAGAGGTATGAAAGTGGTGTTCAGGTGACCACAGAGTGATTTGGATCCCTGTTGTGTGACAAAACTTTTTCTGGGGAGACACACACAAATGTTTACTCATCCCAGATAGGGAATTCATGATAGACCAAAGTACTGATACCACCAAAATCCAATTTTGTGAAGCAATGGCTTTTATTGGGGTTTCTTAGAGGACCATGGATGAGGGGTTACTTATAAAAACATAAATGACTCAAAGACAACTGTGTTATTAAAACCCAACCCAGCATGGGTGACAACCCACAAATCTGGGAACCTGGAGCACGCTGCAGAGCCTGCAGGCAGTTTAGCAGATTGGATTGTCCTTCTGAGGTGCTTCAGTTGGTCTTACCTCTTCCAGGAAGTTCAGGTGGTTTCTGGTTTTGCCAGGCAGCTTGTCTGATCTCAAAAGTCTTATTGGCAGTTCAGCTTCCTTTGGTCTCAGAGGGATTCTCAACTTTTATTGTTTACTCCTACAGGGAGAAGACCAGTAAATCTGGTCAGTTATAGGAACTTCCTGAAGCTATTTTGAGTTGTTTAACTTTCTGTTCAGGAGCTTGAGACTATTTCAATCTTGGAGAAAACTGTTACACAATTCCCCTAAAGCTGGAGTGACTGGCGATTGTGAGGTGCTTTACCTGTGGAACCACATTTAGAGTTTTCTGGCATGGCAAACACACTCTTAGCCACCAAGACATCTCTCTAACACTCCTGCTTTTAAAATTTTTTAAAGGATTTATTTACTTAATTTATGTATATGAGTACACTGCAGCTGTCTTCAGACACACCAGAAGAGAGCATCAGATTCCATTACAGATGGTTGTGAGCCACCATGCAGTTGCTGGGAATTGAACTCAGGACCTCTGGAAGAGCAGTCAGTGCTCTTAACCACTGAGCCATCTCTCCAGCTCCACACTCTTGCTTTTTTACGTTGATACTTGAGATCCGAACTCAGGATCATGCTTGTGTGGCAAGCACTTTATGGACAGAGCATCTCTGCCATCCCCTCATTTTTTACATTTTGCAATTAAGATAAGTAGCCCCAGGCTCTTCGAGCTTTATTCACCTTAACTCCCCATGTATAAAAAGAGGGTAATAATAGCACTTCTCATTTATTATTGTTCAAATGAAGTGGAGCCATTCATATATTTTGTTTCATACAGCATTCCACCCTGAAAAGACTAATAATTGGCAACTTATTCTTCATGCTGTGGGGTGAATACTAACCTGTAAAACCTTGACAATGACAAATGGACACGTTTGTTAATAACCATCATCAAAAGACATACCTGCCTGGCTACTGAAAGGAGAAAGGACAGTGGTCTCTCGTGTCTAGTGACACTGATACTACTCTATGCCTGTTCCAGCTTCCCATAGCTAACCCACAGATGAAAAAAAAAATCTACTTTCCCCATCTCCACACTTGTCTTGGAAGTAGACCCAGAGCTCTGCAGCTGCTCCTCTGAAAGATATTTTCCTGCTCGAAGACTCTCCACCTAAAACTGGTATTTAGTTCTGATGCAAGGCCAGAACAGACTGAGCCCCAGTGCTGGAATAACATTCTGAGTACTGGTTGCAGAAGGCTGGGAATTGACTCCATCCAGATCAGCTAGTGAGCACCAGGGGGAGCACATAGATCATGATCTTAGTAAAGAAAAGAGAGGGCCTTTGTCTACTAAAGCAGCAAAAGCAGGTATGAAGAACCACCCCAGTCTGGCATCTAGGGTGACAACGTGGCTAACAAGTCAGGTACAGGAGGAAGAGCCATTCAATACATGAACCCCATAGTGGCTTGAGGAGGCTAGGCAGTGCTAATGCTAGACTGTAGGACCCCAAAGGGCTGCTATGCCCTGGCTGAGCCTTTCTGTATGCTGATACTGTCTACTAAGTAGTATTCTGCGGTTCCTCTAGGATC